TTATCCATAAACACAACATTCATCAACTCTTTGCGTGCCTCTTTATACAATTGACCAAGAGTAACTATCATTGCCCTCATCTAGTTATGATCGCTCACATGAAACTTCATGGCATTTTGCACCTCCAACATTGCATTTGTATGTGCCAGCTCAGAACCAACAGTTCGAAGTGAATATAACATCGAAATCAGATCTCGTTTCGGACGAGCCTCCAAACTTTCAATCGATGGAAACTCGAAAACTGCATTTCGAGAACATGGATTTGCCCGCCCCTGGCCACGACAGGACAACAATCTTCTCATTGCACATTCGGTCTTAAAGTTTTCAATTCTCCGACGCAAACCATTACACTCTAAGCCTTGTAGTGGGTATTGATGAACTTGGGTATCAGACTTAGCAATCTCATTAATCAAATTATCTCGAATCTTCGATTTTATCCGATAACGAATCCGTATTTCCATATTCATGTCAAGTTTTGGCTGCTCTTTGTGTGTACCACAATGAAGAACGAAGAATATGGCAAGTGCAAAGTTAAATGACATTCTAACCCTTACGACGCAATGTCCACGAGCAGATGGCGGATGGTAGGATGTGCACCACGATGTTGCCTAAGTTTAGATGCACATTGGTGGATCCGCAACATAAACGACCCATAACGATTGTTGAGTCATTCTCTGACTACATGATCGCTACGCACCTTTCAGTGTGAGTTTTTTTTTTTTTTTTTAATGCCATGACTCAGGCCCAGGTAAACACGAGAACATGCCCAAGTCCACACTCACGTCAATATGGTTGTTAGTCTATCTCCCTGCATGTCTCCATATGTATCTGCTTGTGTGTCTGCATGCCTACACGCCTGTGTATGCATGTAAAGCAGCCTACCTACCTGCCTGTGAGTGTGCATGTTTGTCCGCCTACCTATTTACCTACCTGCCTACCTACCTTCCCTGTCAACGGGGGTGCAGGCCCAGACCAGCGTCACGTCAACGTATGGGACTAGGCATGAGCTAAAACTTGGATCTCCGTTTTTTTTTTTTTGAAATATGTTGAAAATAAAAAAGATGGTGATGGCGCAATGCCACTCACGAAACAATATATATATGGTGTGGAGAGGGATTGATCTCCCTCTCCCCACAATATCCCATGGGGATTTGCTGTTTTTCTGTTTTTATTTTTTTGGAAATATGTTGGAAATAAAAAAGATGGTGATGGCGCAATGCCACTCACGAACAGCGATCGAATGTTGTGGAGAGGGATTGATCTCCCTCTCCTTACAATATCCCATGGGGATTTGCGGTTTTTCTGTTTTTTTTTTTTCCGAAAAATGTTGGAAAAAAAAAAAATGGTGATGGCGCGATGCCACTCACGAACAGCGATCGAACGCTGTGGAGAGGGATTCATCTCCCTCTCCCCTCAATGTCCCATGGGGATTTGCCGTTTTTTTTTTTTTTTTTTTGAGAATATGTTGGAAACAAAAAAGATGGTGATGGCGCAATGTCACTCACGAAACACTGTATAGAGGGTGTGGAGAGGGATTGATCTCCCTCTCCCCGCAATATCCCATGGGGATTTGCCGTTTTTCTTTTTTCTTTTTTGGAAATATGTTGGAAATAAAAAAGATGGTGATGGCGCAATGCCACTCACGAACAGTGATCGAACGCTGTGGAGAGGGATTGATCTCCCTCTCCCCATAATATCCCATGGGGATTTGTCGTTTTCCTGTTGTTGTTTTTTTCGAAAAATGTTGGAAACAAAAGAGATGGTGATGGCGCAATGCAACTCACGAACAGTGATCGAACGTTGTGGAGAGGGATTGATCTCCCTCTCCCCACAATATCCCATGGGGATTTGCCGTTTTTCTGTTTTTTTTTTTGGGAAATATGTTGGAAATAAAAAAGATGGTGATGGCGCAATGCCACTCACGAAACAGCGTATAGATGGTGTGGAGAGGGATTGATCTCCCTCTCCTCACAATATCCCATGGGGATTTGCTGTTTTCCTGTTTTTTTTTTTCGGTGGTGCGGGAGAGGGACGGGGTTTGTCGGACACCGTCCCTCTCCCGCACCGCCGAGGGGGTCCGGGGTTCCCAGAAGGCCGGACCCCAGCGCCTGTCACGCGTGGGGGGTATGGCGTTCTGGGAACGCCTGCCCCCCTCGGCGGTGCAGTAGACGGACGGTGTTGGACTGACACTCTCCCTCTCTTGCACCGTCGAGGGGGGTCTGGCGTTCCCAGAACGCCGGACCCCCCCACGTGTGACCGGCGTGGGGGTCCGGCGTTCCCAGAGGGCCGGACCCCCTCGGCGGTGCGGGAGTGGGACAGGGCCCGACCGCCCTCCGTGTCGCCCAAAGCGCCAAGGGGGTCCGGCGTTCTGGGAATGCCGGACCCTCTCGGCGGTGCGGGAGACGGACAGGGTTGGTCGGACACCCTCCCTCTCCCGCACCGCCGAGGGGGTCCGGCGTTCCCAGAACGCCGGATCCACCCCATGCGTGACCGGCGTGGGGGTCCGGCGTTCCCAGAACGCCGGACCCCCTCGGCGGTGCAGGGAAGGGACGGGGCCCAACCAACCCCTGTGTCGCCCAAAGCGCCGAGGGGGTCCGGCGTTCCCTGAACGCTGGACCCCAACGCCGGTCACGCATGGGGGGTCCGGTGTTCTGGGAACGCCGGACCCCCTTGACGGTGCGAGAGAGGTACGGGGACCGACCAACACCCGTGTCGCCCAAAGCGCCGAGGGGGTCTAGCGTTCCCTGGACGCCAGACCCCCTCGGCGGTGCAGGAGACTGAGTGGCCCGACGAACCTCATGCCGTCCACAGCGCCGAGGGGTCCGACGATCCCTGAACATCAGATCCCCGCGTTGGTTGAGGTGCCCCGTGTTGTGGTCTTCAGGCAACAAATGCTCCTTCATGTCACTCAATTCCTTTCTCTTGTTGTCTTTTCTTTTTTTCTCCCCGTGGCTTCCTTCAGGTAAAACAACTTCGGCCTCCGTCCCTGACAAACGTGCATACGGCAGGTCTAAGCTCTACAACGATAAACCCTGGGCTCTTGATTGGGTTGGTGGTCTTCATACATCCGGTTGTGGAGCCGTCGTGTTCTTGAGCGATGACAACGGCGGGAGTTGGAACTGTTGCGGAGGTGTGGAGAAATCAGAAACGGGGAGGACTAGCTACGACGGCAGGAAGTTCAGGACCTTCTTCCTTACGTCTGTCTATGACCACGACGGGAAGAACTGGGTCAAGGAAGACAAGAAGCTGTCTCTTGACCTTCAGCTCTTTCAAGGTTACGGGGTCAAGGCTTTGTCGATGAAAGCGTTTGACGTGCGAGGGAACGGAACGGAGTTCCAAATGCTGGATCCAGAAAAGTTTCTTTCCAAAACCAATGGCTACCGCGTCACTGGGTCCCTGCCCGTTGTCGACATCACTTTCTTGCTCAGCAGACCTTTGGTCCAGTTCAACAGCCCAACGGACCAGCTGGCAACTGTCATTATGCGATACAGGGAACGGTTCGCGAGGCTGTCTGCTGCCCAGCAAGTTGATTGTGTTTTCGTGCCCATTGACGCGGGGTCCAAACGTCGCCAAGATCTGCCGGCCAGAGCGGGTGCGAAGAGGAAACAATTGGCGACTGCCCCGCTTTCGTTCGATGCAGTCGCCCGGGCTCTTCCCACTCCGGTTTCGCCCTCCGATCGACAAGGTCGCGATGTGGCGGAGCAGTCCAGTGAGGCCACAAACTACGACGACGGAGCTCTGCGCCACCTGGCAAGTCCCCAACATCGTTCCCGGGGAGGTACAGGTGCCTTTGACGAGGAGGAATGCGAGGGTCAAGAGGGGGAGGGCGGTTGTGAGGAGGGGGACGACGGACGATAATGAAGGAGATGATGAAGGTGAGGACAATTACATGGACGAGGAGAGAGATGTTGGTGAGGCTGGCGCCTGCGGAGTCGGTGACGCGGATGATGCGGATGGTGCCGGAATGTCGCAGTCGTTTAACCAAGCGAAGGATGGGACAGACAAACATGACTCACGAGGAAAGAGAAAGAGGGGAGAAGCATTGACCTCTACTGCGAGCCAAACGAAGCAAGCGAGGACTGACGCCGTCAATGAGGCTCACGGAGCGTTGATGGCATCCTAGGAAGCGCGGGCTCCTCAGAAAACTGGGGGGGGGGAGGGGGGCGAAGTGGCAGTCGTGGCGGCGGTAGGAAAGACTCGCAGAGGGCCAGGACACAAGAGTTGCAGGACTCTGGGGATGAGGGTGAGGGGGGGGGTCCTTGCATGCCCGATGATGTTGACGAGTTGGTTCTGCGCGCCTCCCCTTGACACAACACGATGTTTCTATCTCGAATATGACGAGGAAGGCTTCGCCAGGCAAGACGTCCATGTTGTTAGCGACGATGTCACAAGAATCAAACGCATTCCCCGTGGGAGGATTCTTTATAACCACCGCTCTTTGTCCGAGAACATTGTGAGAGGCATCGAGAATGCCATAGAAAACTCCCTCACTGCCGACCCGGGGCCGTGGGATAGACCTGAGCTCGTTCTTGCACCTGTTGATCTGGACGACAACGTCGGCGGGCAGGAAAGGCGTATCACGCCGGACGAGTTCTTCAAAAGGGACTCTGCGGAGTTCGACTGGTACGCTGTCTGTGGTCCGCATACCGCCAAGGCCATGAAACGGTTGGTGGCAAAGGACTCCGCCGCGGTCAAAGTCTATGACCTCTGCGCGTACTCCAAAGTGCGAGTCGTCTTTTTCAAAGATGACTAGACACGAGAGTACTTCAGTGTCTCCGCCTTCGACAACACACGTGAGAATCAGGCCATGATGTTGTCCTTCCAAGACGCTGTGCATGATATGAGGCAATGGTGGATCGACAACAACAGAATCGAGGCCCCCAAAGCTAAGGTCAGCGATAAGGATGTCGTTGTCGTTGCGCACCAGAAAAAGTGGCAAAACTTCATGAGGGTCTGCATGGGGAAGGCGTGCGACAAGGCATTTGTGAAACAGACGCTCGACAATGAGTACAATAAGGATTGGAGTAATAAACTCCGGGGGGTACATGAACCTCGCCAAGTCCACCGCCGCAGTCTGGCCATTGGTGGAGAGCTTCTTCACAATGTTCGAGGAAGGTCAACTGCAAATCGGCGATGGCAAGATCCCGCTTGACATGCCGGGGAGGATGGAGGGGCGCCTGCCGGGCCCGTACACCGATGAGATGAAAGGACAAAGGTCGTTGTACCACTGCATATATGCGAGAGATGGTCCCAAATGCTCCACCGTGTCCTGGAAGGATTTGTGTCCTTCGTACTTCAAAAACTTCGGGGACATGACATGTCGCGAGAGAGAAGTCGCGCTACTTCTGCTCATGAAGGGGAAAGTAGTGGCAACAAATGTCAAAGTCACACCTCCGAGGGTGAACACAGAGTGCCTTCTCGACATAATGCGCAAAGAGAGATACATGGTCCGCATGTTCAACTATGTCGTGTTCTGCACGGAGGGAAGGGCAGATGAAGAATGGAACGACGACTTCTTCATGTCGTACAAGGACCTGGAAAAGAGGTATGCGCCGAACGGGCTACACGCAGCTGAATGGGAGAAGGAACGGGAGAAGCTTCATAGCAACAAAGTGAAGACGGTCCCTCGTCGACTTGGAGGAGTGGAGGAGGCAAGGCAAGGTGCGGGCTTGAGGCCTACGGAAGTAATGTACAAGGAGGCTCCGTTTCACTTCAAGGTGTTCATATACACTGCAATCGATAAGCTCGATTTGCTTCGGGCAGAGGTGATCGCCTCCAGTGCACGTCCTCTTGTATGGGACAAACTCGGCAGGCAGACCACATTGCTTCCTGTGTGCATGCGGTCAAAGGAGGTTATGGCAGCGCCCGACGATATCGTCGCCTCTGCGCAAAAAATGGCATGTAGGGCCGCCATCGTGGACATCTCGGCCGCAAATTTCAGCAGTGCATGGACCTCGCAGGACTTCGATGCACTGTACACAATGATGACGAAGTGTTGTGGTCCGAATTGGGTCCTCTTTTTCTTTGCACTGAAGAAGCTGCAAAGCGATGTCTTGCGTCACTTGTTCCGTTGGGAGGACGTCGAACTCATCCCTGGGTCCTGGAAACGGGTGGACAGGTCATTGAGTGACGTCACAAGGTACGGCAACATCGCTACGTCGAGCCGGGACTTAATGGTTATCGTAATGCACGCTGAGGGAGGGGATCTTAAAAAAGTAACTGTCGCACCCCGACTTCTCAATGATCTCACAGAAGTGTATGTTGTGGAGGATAAGTTCGGGAAGTGTCAAGGAAAACACGGTGGTGTCGAAGGCGACGAAAGTGGTGCGTATTCAATTTGGGAGCGAGAACCCGACAAGTTGCGGAAGTTGTGCAGTTCATTCGCCGAAGAAGCGGAAGGTGTCATTTTGCTGGGTAGGGCGCACGCGGGTCTTGTTTGGTAGTTCATGCTTGCAGGTAATAATGTCATTGCCTGTGACAAGTCGGCCAAGGACATTTCATACTTGACAAAGTTCATCGACATACTTGTCAAGGATGACAGAATCAATTGCCGACTCGAGAAGCCGCGTTCCACACATCGCAACAACAGGGACATGTACCACAAGGTGGGACCGAAGAGACTGAAGGTGTAGGAATACCTGTTCCGCGATGCGCCGGAGGGACGTCTTGACGGGAGATATATATATAAGAAAGCCACGGTGACAGAGGCCCTCAAACATTATCACCGTACTCTGGCTGACGCCTTTAGACATTCGTTGCTCGATGCGAGATATTGAAGTTTGATCTTCACAAAGATCAACTGACGTTCAAGGACTATGCAGACCTCGCTAAATCGGGTGAAGGCTTTAACCCCGTTGACAGCGAAGAAGACTCATCGGACTCCGAACTCGAGATTGAAAATGACACCAATGCAGCCGGGTGGCGTGGACAGTCCGCTGCCATGGAGCGCGACGGCAGGGAATATGGACCAGGTCAATCAGAGGGATGCTCAAACCCGCCACCCACGAACAGTGTAGCCTCGATGGTGGACCGGGTTGAGTATACGCCTATCGAAGACGGCGAAAACGATGAGATCGATATTCCTGATGAGGCAACGAAGCTGGCGTCAGGCGATCCGATTCCTCCCAACTTTTGTGCGGACCCAAATGATATGTGTTTCTTGGATGACAAATACGCCCGCACTAGTGAGGACAAGTGGGGCCATGATATCATTTGGCATAACGACATTTTTTAGCCATGCATCCAAGGCGGGGAGTGAAAGATGGCGGTGAAGTATGTGACCGGTTGGAGACCGTTCGATTGGGAAAGGACTGCTGGCTGAAAACGATGGAGGCCGCAATTTTATGTCGGGTGCGGAAAGAGAACCCCGGGGAGAGTGAAACCTCAATCAAAGCAAAGGCGAAACAATTGTTCAATGCCTTGCGAGCCAAAAGTTGGAGTACACACACAAGTTTTACGCGCTGCAGACGAGCGCCTCGCGCGGATCAATCGACTGAAAGGTTGACCGCACCACCGATTTGAGGATGACCGAGAGCATGGAGGTGGACTCCCGAGAAGATGTTGCCCCTGTGTCTGAGGCGGCCACAGGGAATACAAAGGGTGAACAAAGGGAAGATGCCAGGACCACGTCCGACTCCATTGCCTGAGGTGGGGAACACGTCCGCAGGCGAAAATCCATCATAGCCATCTCAGTCGCCACGGGGGATACATCACAAGGTGGACATGTGTCACTCGACAAGCCGTCGGAAGCGGGCGCCACATACGGGAGTCTCCTCGCGACAGGTGCAGCAATGGAAGGCAGATCAGAGATGGAGTCGGAGTCCGCTGTTGGGATGGGCGTCACATGAATGTCGTTGCATCCGCCCCCATGCACTAGCAAAGGTGATGCACACTGTACAACAACACCACAGGGAGAGGCCACAGGGGATGACGGGAATGGGGAAAATGCAGAGGGGTCTCAACGTTCTCGCAATCTTGAGGACATGACCACGGAGGACGAGGATGAGGCAGAAGACGGAAAGGGTGTGATCGATTCCACACGTGTGGAAAATGAGGGGTGAGACAGGGAATGAACTCGAGGGGAATCCTAAAGTTTTTATTTATTTGCTCATTTGTTTTAAATCTAGGTTTGTGGGCGAAATTTATTCTGATATACAATTGGGTTATTTACTCATTTGTTTTAAATCTAAGTGATTGGTATTTGGTGGTTTCATTGTTTACAAGATAAATGTGCGGTTAACAGGAGTGTGTCGTAGATGCATGTGTTTCTCTCTAGATTCGTCGATGTGTCGTGGTATGTATATGCATGTATGCCTTTGGGGTACGGTGACGCAAGGGGGCAACAGTCAGGATTGATTGATTGCATACATCAATGTCGTCCATGTAAGTGTAAGATTAGATAAACATTGATGGCATATTTTGAATACATCGTTTCCGTTGCTCATGCTATGGTAAGGCACTTGCCCATGTACAAGTATCTCACCCCCCTTACCTCCCCAGTCCCCCCCTGGACCCGGCCACCGTTTTTTACACCTCCGTCAATGTCGTTCATGATTGTCGTGTGCAGTGCAAATTATAACAGCGGATGCAAGAAAGTGCAAAAGAGGGTGGACAATGCGGCTCGCTACATCGTCTTTATCAGAGAAGGAGATGAAAACACTCTCGCATATCATCCGAGAATGCGGGAATAGGTTTCCAATAGCGAGTACACACAATCACGTGACGAACGAAGTATTGAAGCTAACTCGAGACGATTTTATTTTACTAGTCGGCGAAAGGAACTGGTTAAATGACAACGTCGTCAACTTCTACCTGAACCTCATCGCACTAGACAACTGGTGTAGAATCACACACATAGAATGCGACCCAGAGAACGAAACCGTGATTAGAACAGGAAAGGGTCGCATTCCAAGAATATGAGTGGTGAGCTCATTTTTCTTCGCCAAACTTTTTGACATCGAAATGAGATATCGAGAGCGAGAGGTGCAGCATTGGTTGAATGACGTCATAATAAGTGACATGGACTTGATAATTGCCCCTTTTCATATCGCACACATGAACCACTGGAACCCCGTTGTGGCTGACTTCAGGAGGAGGAAATTCGAATTTTACGACTCTCTCAGCCCCGACATAGAACTGGCAAGAAAAATGACCGGCGAATTTGCAAAGTTTCTGTTCGAAAGATCGATCGAGCAAGGCAAAGAGGTGGACACGAAACCGTTCAATCACATATGGAACGTAGAGGGCATGCCGAAACAACGTGACACTAACTCATGCGGGGTCTTCATGTTCGCATACGCATCGCTTATGGCAAGGGGTCACCTTCCGCCTTTTTCTTTCACCGCTGATGACATACCCGCAATATGTCGTCGAATGACTTTGGACACAGTGGCTCGTGAGTAGTATGTACATGTTGTTGGATATTGTGATTACATGCGGACGGATGTGGGTAACATGAAATTGTTTGTAACTGAAACAGTGTATAAATGGTGACAAACATTGCTTGAGACCCTTACCCCTTACCCCTTCCCATTTACACCTTGTCTCTTATCCCTAAACCACTTATCCCTTACCCCTTACCCCTTACCCCTTACCCCTTACCCCTTACCCCTTACCCCTCACGTGTATACCCATACCCTGAACCGCGAATTTCAAATGCATTTTTGACCCAAAGTCACCATGAAAATGACAATTTCAATTTCGTTCAAAAAATATAAAATGTCCGTTCTGACGAAATTGCTGTTAGCTATTGACCCACGTGCGGAAGCTTTTACATGCAATTGCAGAGGTAGGCCAACCGAGGACGTTTACTCGCTCGCTGGAGTATAGGTACGCTTGGTTAAACATCGGGTGGACCCGAATGCTGCCCATTCCCTAGGACGTTGATCTCCTAGGTACGAAACGAACGTCGGTCGACTAGGACAGTCTCAACCAAACGCGAAACCCGTAAAATGATCCTAATCCCTTTACGATTCTCTCTGGGGACAAAACAAATAAAACTAATACATCTTATATCCAATCAAGCAAGATACATTTTTAACTTGATGAGATTATCTGTCAAGGATATTCTTCCCAACCTTTATAACCGAAGACCTTTATATTGCCGTTTTCGAAGCGGAGACTCAATATTAATAAAAAATTAAGAAAGGACAACCATTGCTACCATGCAGATCACAAGTGATTTGGTTTTTGGCCAAAGTTTGAACTCTCGGTTTGACCACATCTCTGCAGTATATGCAGCTTGCTTGGAGGAAAGTAGTATCTAGTGAATAAAAATTTTGTTGGTCGCTTTGTCCTCTTGGCAATAATTACTATTTCCGTTCCTCGAATGATGAAGTATTCACCTTCATCATTAGAATACCCTAAACAAAACCGCAGTCGTTATTATTGAGCAAAGAAAACCGTCTCCTTTATTACCTACTCCTATTGCGAGTTGGAGTTTCTTCTGTCTCCAACTTTTAATTATAATGAACGTGCTTAGCTGACAACCTATAAGGACATAAATAACCCCCTCGTCGCCCAGGATTCGACGAGAGGTGACCCAACTTGCGCTTCACACACTCATCCTTCTAGGAAGTGGTTTGCGGATACTCCTTCCCCTCGCTCAAGCCTAAGGACCCGGATCTCAGAGGTTGGGCCGTTACTACCGAGTCGACAAAGTACCACCCCCGACGAGTCGGGTCCACTCCAAGTCGATAACAAGGACGGTTGCGAAAGCATACGAAACCCCGCCAGGGGTGCTTCCTAAAGAGAGAGAATGCGTCCACCGTAGGATTTTGAAGATTTTAATTGTCCTTATCTTTACAAGTTCAAAATAACTTAGACAAGGATATTCAGAGGAGATAGAAATGAGAACCATAAGGTCATTCGGGATAAAAGGTGTCAATTCTCAGGAAAAGGCTAAGTCTATCTCACCTTATCTGCTTCATTTCAATCGAATTCGTTTTACGACGCAGACATATTAACCAAAGTTTTTCTAAACAACGAATCATTTTTTTCATGCAAACAGGTGAGAAAAAGAAGAAAATCAATTTTCTTTTCTCAAATTCTTCTACCTACCTGCACATCACGCAAAAAAAACAAGTTCAAAAGAAAATAGTACCATCCCATATTCAGGTCAGACTTTTCCGTTCACATGCACAACTCGCACAACTTCCCTCTGACTTTTTAATGAACATTTAATGAACAGGGTCAAGCAAGTGTGGGTTCACATAGGTGTGAAGGGAAATCAGAGTCAATCAACTGACTGACCTTGAGTGAAGTTTGATCCGGCCCACTCAACAAAGCCCGAGTAATACTCCAATGAAATTTAAAAAGACGATCGTCATTATAGTTGAAAATATGCAGCACACAACTCCACAACTTACGTTTGTTCCATTGAATGACGGTTGTCTCTCTCTCGCAAAGGTCAGATCCACTTAAAGGGTTCAAATGAGATAACCCTCCAAGAGGGTGTTCTCAGTTACTGTAATAAGTCTTATGTGGTCCCAACAATCCCAATGACACCCCGTCCTCCAAGGACAGTCTCATCTTAATCACCACGCGGGATCGCCAAATGTCCA